ATTGTTAACCTAAAATATCCTGAAGCATTTTTAATAAAATACTTGGACAAACTGCCAATAACTTGGGTACTAAAAATATGAAAAAAAATTCAACAATTTTAATCATAAGAGAATTGCAAGTTAAAACTACAGTAAAATATCATCTCATACTTGTTAGAATAGTTATAAAATAAAAAAAATAACTAATCTTGCCAAGAACTTGGAGAAAAAATAACCCTGGTGTACTTGGAGGGAATGTAAACAGTACACCCAATTTGGAAAACAGTGCGGCGGTTCTTCAAAAAACCAAAAGTGGAATCACCATGTGATCCAGCATTTCTGGGTGCACATCCAAAGGAATTGAAGTTGGTATGCCAAAGTGATGTCTATGCTTCGAAATGAAGACCAAGAAAAATCCCCATGAAGACCAAGAAAAAGTCCAACTCTTTCCAGCCAAAAGACAGGGAAGGAGGTAGCCTAGCAAGATAAAAGTTTAGGACAATAACCGATATAATACACTCCATAGCTAAAAATAGAAAATATCAAGTCCTCCTCTAATAACCACCAGCAAAGTTTGAGGCAGAAGGAAAAGCTTTTGGTACCCTTCCTGCTCAACTTTCCATGATAAATGTAAACACTATTTGGAAATGATGAATTTTCATATAAATTAACTTGATAAACAATATTAAAATGCTACATCTCTGGCTTCATTTAGTCCCAAATCTAAAAAAAAAAAAAAATACTTATCTGAAATAAGTAATATTTTTATTTAAAAAACATACATGAAAGACTGAAATGAATTTAAAATATGAGTTCCAGTGTTATAGAGGAGGCAGTCCATCTGTAATGGAAATAAAATAACATTTCAGAGATGACCTATCTAGGTAATCTCAGAGAAGTTACGTAATCTTATTTTAAAAATTAAGACAATAACGCCATTTAACTCATGTGGTTGCTGTGTCAAATGAGATAATGAATGTGAAACACTCAGCAATAAACAGCAATGAATGAGTAATTCACAGTAAAAACTTACTCAAAATAAGCAATTATTAGCTTATTTGCAAATGCAAAGGACATTTACTTATATGCCAGTAACAAAGAATGAACGCTACCTGCTAGACAAATGTTATGATGAAAACAGACTCCTCCTACAATCCTCTCTGTTCAGCAGGGCCTATTTACATAAGATTTGGGACCTTTTGTGATATAAGACACTAAATATTTCATCCCCAGACACCTGCAGGTTTGTTAGCACCCTTTTGAAAATCCAAGGAGACTGAGAAAATTAGATGTGTTTATATTTTCATGCACGATTTTGCTGGCTGAGCTATTCATTAAAATCTCAGGGGCTTTATTTGTCCTCCTGATTATTAGTATGCAATTGGGGTGATCTAATTAGTTTTGAAACTTGACTTGGATAAACATTTTTGGCATGGGTGATGCTTAATCATCTGTGCCTGTCTGAGAAGAAACCGTAAATAACCAGGAGCCTGGAACTATAGTCTGGAGCACTGTTTTGGAGTTGATGTATAGCCAAATCTTTGGGACCTTCAAGAAAAGCCATGCTGCTTTTCTCTGTGTGAAAGTGACCCTCATTTTATTCAGTTTTGATATTTCCCACTGATCATGTATATGTGCTTTCAAAATCCTGGACTTCTGAAATAGTGATCCATTTATTGAAGGTATAAGGGGTAATAAAAATATGGTTAATGATTTTAAAATTTTTTACTTATTGCAGTAAAAAACACATTGCATCTCTCTGACTATCAATGATGTTGAAGATTTTTTTCATGTGTTAATTGGCCATTTGTACTTCTTCTGAAAAATGTTTACTCCTTTCAGGTGTCCATCTTTAATTGGTTTTTTTATTTTTGGGTGATCTAATTTTTATTATTTCTTTATATACTCTAGTTATTAGTCCTGTGAGGAGTAGCTGGCAAAATTTTTTCCCATTCTGTAGGTTGTCTTTTTACTCTGTTGTTGTTTCCTTTTTCAGTTTGATATGAGTCTATTTGTTGATTCTTGATACTAAAGAAAATGTACTTATACACAGAGAGTACTACTCTGCCATAAAGAATGATAAGCTTGCATCCTTTGCAGAAAAATGGGTGCACTTTGAGACCATAAGGCTAAGTGAAATAAATCAGACACACAAGCTTAAATGCCACATGGTTTCTTTTATATGAGAAACCCAGAATATAAATAAGGAGCAAAACAAAAGACAGATAATAGGAAATAGGGAGATCGATTTTGTTCAAATAGGAAGGGATCAAGAGATGTAGAAAAGGGAGAATAAGATTTTAAAAAATTAAAATGTGCTATGTGCTTGTGTCATCTTCAAACAATGTAAACAATATTTGAGAACATATTTCCTCACTTAATGGATGATATCAAACTTGTTCATTTTTTTCAAAGAACATCACTTATTATGATGTGATCTGATTTTGCTTTCTTTTTATTACTTTTGCTGTATTATTTTTGTTGTGTCCTATTATTATTTTAATTGGTTGGAATGAATTAGTTTTATTTTCACTACTTTTAATTTAATAACATAGAATTTGTGCATCTTGTTTTTATTTTTCCAGTAGTTATGACGCTTAAAGTTTTAACATTTTGTTTACATTTTCTACCAGTGTCTATAATTGATTTGTTCCTAGACTCTGACTGAATTCTACATGAATCTAAGTATGTCTGTACCTTTCTCTGTTCTTACTTTTACCATGCCCCAGCTTGCTTGTTAAATCATACAAAAATTTAACTACAAATTATTATTTTGATCAACAATTAGTTAGACTCATAATAAATTGCTTTTTTCCCTTTGTTTGCTCCTGTTTCAGGTCTGTCATGTGTCCCCTTGTGTTCTCTTATCAGCCAGAAAATCCTGTGAATAGTGAGATTTCTGAATCCTTTCGTGATATCCAAATAACTTGGTTTTTCCTTCTGCTTGAATCGCATGCAGTTTGGGTAGAGAATTCCACATAGAGTATTACTCCCCACCTCACAACTGGGAAGAGGAACTTCTTTACCCCTCTGACTCTGGTGTTGCTATGAAAAATATGGAGCCAGTATTTTGCTCCTTTGTAGATTATTATTATTATTATTATTATTATTATTATTATTTATGGAAATATAGGACAAGTCTCTACTGTCCTTGTTTTTAAAATGTTGTTATATAATTTTGGAGTGATGCCTTCTTGTCACCTTCCTACGTGATACTTAGACATTTCTCTCGGAGGGCTCGTCTTTCTGTGGCACTGAGTCTAGACAATGATGGTCAAGGGCTGTTTAAAATCATATGTAGAAAAATATGGGGGGGTTATAGTGGATAAATTGGGCTGTCAAATCTGAACTTACGAATTTTTCAATCGTGGAAAGCAAAACCAGACATGCACCTCACTATAGGATGCAATAAGGAGTATACAAGCCTACTATGAAATTTCTTGCCAAAATCCAAAGGGTAATCTCGTGAAGATTTTATATAGATCCACCTGTCACTTTACAGTCACACAGTGTTCACTGGAACTCTTTATTTAAAGGCCACAGATCCTCAATGCTGTGCACCCCAAGCTCATGTAAGGAATTTCTGCAATTTTGACATTAGCAAGATGTAAAATTTAGAGATGCTATGGTGAATTTTGGAGTCAGTAGAACCATATTTCTAGGCAAGTTACTCTGGAAAGTGACTGAGTAGCTTCAAGTGCTTCAAGAACAGAGGTTGTCAAGGAAGATTAAGATGTTTGTTTGTTTGTTTGTTTGTTTTTTGAGACAGGGTCTCACTATGTAGTTGAGACTGATCTGGAACTCACTATGTAGCCCAGGCTGGTCTTGAACTCATAGCGATCCTCCTGCCTCAGCCTCTCAAGTGCTGGGATTACAGGCGTGCACTACCATGCCCTGCTGAAGATTGAGATTTTGATCAGGGCTTAGACCTACTGATTGATTGCATTCCTCTTATTGCAGACACCACTCCCAAACTAAGAGCCCAAGTTTTTGGCTTCAGAATTAATGTATTTGTAGAGAAAGCCTCTGTTTATGCTTTGATTTTTACTTCTTTCCACAGTGTTTCCTAAATATACAGGACTCCCAAATTTTAGGTTTTAAAAGATTTTGTTTTGTCTTTATATTACTTGCATGTGTTTTGTTTTTATACATTAATTTTCTTGTATGAAAGAAAATGTTGCCACAAGAAAACTGGGGGCTTCTGGCTTGATATTTACTATTTTGAGCAGGTAGTTAATAAAACACTGAAAAAAAAATCTCATACTGCTGTGTGGCTGCAGACAGAATTGACCACTCTATATGTGTGTTTTGCACACTAACCACATGCCAAGAACTCAGCCAAGAAAAAGACTTGCAGATAATCATAGCCTTTTTCCTTGACATCTATCAGATGTAGAAGTGAAGATTTGGTGTTTGCTGTCTATAAAATTTTTTTTAAAAAAGAGGGAGAGTGTACGTTAACAAACGCTCCAGTGGACACTTGTATAAATATCTACGTAGCAGCATGAATCCCTGAGTGTGCTTTCTAACTATCTTTCCTCTTCTTTTCTAACACACTGACTATCTAGTTACACTGAGATATAAGAGAAAGAAGAAATTTTGGTATATCCTATTGAATTGTTTGTAAACAGGGAAAGTCTACTTTTGCAAACAAGAACAACATTGGTATTTAATCCTCTGGTAGAAAATGGTGACCTCTAAGAATTATGGGAGTGAGTGTTTCTTGTAAGTGAAAACCATAGACACCAACCACTCTGCTAGACAGAAGCACTCAGGGGGAAGCAACTAATCAGTGCAGGTATAATAGGACACACAACACTGCTTAATCAATTCTATTTCTTTGGTTGATTTTCTGCATCTTGCAAAATATATTTGCAAAAAACTATTTTCAGAAACATCATGTGGACATGGTTGAATGCCTTAAGTTTTGGTTAATGAATAAACTTGTCTTAAATTGGTCTGTTGCTGGTCTCCCATGACGTTTTTTTCTTTTTAGTCCCTCTAAATTTCCAGGAGAAGAATTGAGTTTCAAAATGCCTATGAACATGAACAAGCTGATTTTACTACTAGGAATGATCTGTTTGGAACAAGAAGAATCTGCAATTCTTTCTCTTCCCAAAGGTAAGATTCAAATGAAAGCTGTAATACTTTGATCTAAAGGAATAACTTTTTGGCAATGGACATCACAACTCCAGTTCCACATTTCTTTGGCAAAATAGGACACATAAATATATTTTGGAGATCTAATTGTTTTTCAAGTAATTATTTTGGACTTTGCTCCAGCAATCAGTATATGAAATGAAACAAAACATTTGTGGAAAGCAACGAAGTATTTTTTTTCCACTTAGTTTAACCAAATTAACAGATTATTCACTTCTTTGAACACAACATAAATCCCATTTTCTTTAGTAAACCAAATTTTGGAAATCAGCATAGATTTGGAAGCACTATTAGCTTTTGGGAAGTTATTTTGCTGGGAAATATGAAATACATTTACTGTAATAAATGGTCTTTTTTCCCTTGACTGTCATGCGTGGAAAACAATTCTTGGCAGGCTTCTTCATGACCAGACTTGTGCCAGCCCAGAGAAGCACCATGTTTTCTGTCTCTGCTTCAGTAAGTTCAGGAAATAGTAAAATATGGGTTTAAAGTATTTAAGAGTCATTGAGCAGCAGCAGTTAGAAAATGAGCTTTTGATCCAGTGTCCTGCCTATACTGGATTCAGAGTGAAAAATTATTATATTCATGTTTTGCCATTACTTAGTGGTGCATCTCTTTAATTCTTAGTTTTCATGTCTGTAACGTGAGAGGTAACACTGCTTGATTCATAGGCTTAGTGTGGGGATTAAATAAGAAGTCCTATGAAAGAGCTTGGCATATTTTAAAATATTGATCTAAATAGCTGCCCTTTTAAGGATATGTTCTCAATTTTTAAAAAATCTCTTCATCGGTTCTTCTTTTCCAAATGCCATATGTACTAG